AGTCATCCTACACACCACCATCCGATGCTGTCTGGCTACACTTTCTCCTACCACCACTTTACAGTCACTAATCTCTCTCAGATTGCCTCATCTACATAGAATGTAGTCTACCTGCGTACTCCTACCTCCACTCTTATATGTAACTCTATGTTCCTCCCTCTTCTGGAAATAGGTGTTAACTACAGCCATTTCCATCCTCTTAGCAAAGTCCACCACCATCTGTCCTTCTAGGTTCCTTCCCTTAACACCAGACCTGCCCATCACCTCCTTATCACCTCCTCTCCTTCTTCGAACAACAGTAGTCCAATTTCAGCCAGCACCCTGTAGGTCCACAGCACTGGTGGCGGTCGTTGTTATCCTGGGCCTCGTCCGATCCAGTATGGAATTCGCACTGATGATTCGCATGTTTAAATTTGGCATGTTTTTACGCCGGATGCCCTTCCTGACGCAACCCCCTCTATTTATCCCGGCTTAGGATGAGCACAGAAGTCACTGGCTTGCAATCCCTGTGGTGGTGGTGCAACCCCATTGCTATGCAGATGATACTCAGATTTATCTATGAAACCAGATGAATCAGATCAGTTAGTCAAACTTCCAGCATGTCTTAAAGACATAAAGACCTGGATGACCTGTAATTTCTTACTTCTAAACTCTGACAAAACTGAAGTTATTGTACTTGGGCTTGAAAACCTTAGAAATCTTCTGTCTAACCATATAGTTACTCTAGACAACATAACTCTGGCTTCCAGTACTGCTGTGAGGAACCTTGGAGTCATTTTTGACCACGATATGTCCTTTAAATCACACATACACCAAGTCTCTAGAACTGCCTTTTTTTCACCTGGCAATATCACCAAAATCAGGAATGTCCTGAGTCAAAGAGGCTTCATCAGTTCTGTCTGGTGGTGAGCAGGAGGTATTTATCCCACCGGGTGGGGTTTCAGTCCTTCGACGGCCAACAGTGTCCTCTAAGGACTGATCATAATCTTAGCTTAGTGTTATTTAAATTACCTTGCCTATGGGGCTTGCGCAGATAACAAAATTTAGAATCAGGTGAACCCATGAGGACACAGACACAAACCATGAACTGAACTTTAGTTTTAGTGAGAGGTGACAGTGACAATTAGAGACACAACAGCAGTTCAGAGTGAAATACATAAGATTTTTATACTGTACCGTCACATGGTCCCCTTTTAAAAGAGATGTCATCAATAGCAATATCACTTCGCAGTGATGGGCCTCGGATTGCTTCAAATATAATCTGAAGAAAACACAAAAATTATGACTATGTTATGCATAAACTGAAACTAAGTGTGATGACCAAAAAACACTTTTTGAGACCACCATACAGTGGATCTGATCTATCTGTAATTATTGCACAACATGAACAAGGACATTCAAGGCTAGATTTATCAAAAAATGGCTCAGTGCATTGTGTGCTGTAGTTTTCTGTTCTGCTGAATGTTTTGGTCATTTGTATGCAGATGACAGCTATTTACATTTTTCACTGATATTACTACAATTCAAAGTACCTGGCATTATAGAGAGTGAGGGAGAGCTATGCAGGCACTGGACAATAATTGGATTTCTAACACATTATTAAGACTCTTGGTGTTTCTCTGGGGTGTACAGCATGGGGGTGGAAGGCCAGGCTCCCCCCCCCCCCTCTTTTTTTTTTTTGTTTTTATTTTTTTTTTTTGGAGCCAGGCTCCGCCTTCAACATCGACTTTTTTTATTCTTTATTTCATTGCAGCAAGATCTTAAAATGGAGTTTCTAAATAAAATAAAGCCTAGCGCCAAGGGCTCCATGTTACAAGCCAGTAACATCACACTGACACCATGAGCTACATGTTGCTTCACAACAGCTGACGCCACTCCTACATGATCAAGAGGTTAAAAATACACAATGTGATTTATGGCTCAGTGAAAACATAAGGGTGCTGACTCAGAAGCAGCTCAACACAGCTCCGCCATGCACACTTCGGCCTGGCAGTACTGTTCCGTGCTGCTGGAAAACACCATTTGGCTTAGGTAAACAAAACAGAGATTAAGATCAAGTTCATCATACAGTAAAATCAAAATCAAAGTACCTTTCCTCAAGAAAAAACAGAGACTGTTTTGAAAGGGGATGATGGACTGTTTCTGAAAATCTGGTCACCGTTATGGATCATCTACAAACAGATCTAAGGACTTACTATTAAAGGGTTAGTGTTCCTTTGTGTAGAATCCCCTGTAATCTGAGAAATTGACATACAGTGAAGTAAGGTATTTGATTGATTACTGGATAGTAATCGGGATTGAAGAATTATTTTGTTTTGTTTTGTGTGTGTGTTTTGGGGGTTGTTGTATATTGTTATGTGAATTATTTGTTGATTAAACTTAATAAAAAATTTAATGTAAAAAGGGTCCAGAACAGGTAGAAAACAGAGAGTATGGTGAGATTGTTTTTTTGCTTATTATTCAGTTTTAGAATTATTCAAAAGAAGTCCACTGTGAGGACAGAGTATCTGGTGCACTTGTAATAAAGATTTAAAGTTTTCAGAATACCACGTTGCCCAGCCTTGCCCAGTAGTGAGACCAAATAGATACCTTTTGATCAGCGATAAAGATACAAAGTAGTTTCCAATAGTTTAAAGTATGGATTTGCACCATCATACCATTATTTAAAAGAGCAGTGTTGTTACTTGGGCCACTTAATTAATTTGAACATACAACACAAATGTGACCACAATGTTCTGGACTAGGGTTAGGGGCACAACTCTGCCAGCTAAAGCAGAGCTAGAGGCATTAACAGGTTTACTCTGATGATGGTTGTGGATAACACAAGGGAAGGTACTAGCTGCTGTTTGGTATTTATAAACTGTTACATCAGGAATTAGTTTGTGACTTCAATAATTTTCTCGCTGACATACCTGGTGTCGGACATCACAGTGGTAGTCCACCATCGCCCTCATCCAGCTGATACTCTGCTCACCACGTCGTCTCCACAGCAGCGTGTCCTGCTCTCTGCTGCCATGGTGCAGGAGCACGCTCAGTATGCCGGTGCCAGACCCATACATGTGGTAATAAAAGATCAAACACTGAGAGGACGAGGAGCCCCTTAGTTCAGAGGTCAGCAGCCGAGCTTTGTGACCCGGACGCATGAGTGACGCCTCAATGTACATGAAGTAACCTGGAAGATGTACAAAGTTCACAAAACAATGAGTAGCACACTTTACAGTTTCAAACTTTACTCATCCCAGAAAGACTTATTACAGTGCTATAAATAAAACAAAGAACAGAATACTGTGTAAATTAGAATAGAGCATTTATTAACATCCAACAACACCAATACTCAAACATCTTAACCAGAATTATATGAATAAAGCTGTCCAAGTCTAAATTTCTGATAGTGGGATGATGCAATGACTCTTTGTTTCACATCACACACAGGCTTCCATCAAGCCATCATGTGGGGATATCTCCTCTGAATGAATGAATACAGCAATGAATGAGGAAATGACTCACCCACCCCTGTGGTGTGGTCTCCTCTGGGTCCTGTATAGGAAGTTGGGGTAAGTCCTCGGACTCGAAGCCAGTCTGCCTTGTCTCCTTTCTTATCCTGGATGTAGCCACAGATTCCACTGTCAAAGTTACACTGTCCTGGGAGAGAGCCTGTATTGCAAGCAAATAAAGTCAGTGCATCAGATTAACAAAGACACTTAAGGCTAGATTTACTAAGACAATGGCTCAGTGCAGTTTTCATGAAAATTCCAGGATCATTCAGTGAGTGATGAAGAGCCCTCCAGGCTCTGTGGGATCACGCTGCTCAGAGAGGAAATGTTAACACAGTTACTTGGGTGCAGTTCATCTCTACTTGAGATGAAATGTTTATTACCTTTTAAGTTATAAATGTAATTATATCATTAATAAAATATAAGCAGAACAAATTTAAAGGGAAATGATAAATAACACCAGAGACAGACCACAATGAAGTAGCTGGTCTTATCAAAACAAGTTTCAGCCTGTAGTGATTCAGAATCAGAATCAGCTTTACTGGCCAGGTGTGTTGGACACACGAGGAATTTGGATCTGGTACAGCGGCTCTGTGTACATACATGTCAACAAGCAAGAAAATGTGCATTAGGAAAGAGATATATAAAAAGAGTAGATAACCTATAAACAGAGACCTGTATACACACACATATATATATATATATATATACACACACACACACACACACACACACAGTCTTGATTCAGTCAATCTATATGTACAATGTATATGTACAATGTACAGGTAATGCACTGCATTGTCCAGACATCCTGTTGTG